AGACCTTGTGCTTTGTCAGGGGCCCCAAAATTTCTGGTGGCGGCCTTGAGAGTAGTACACTAACACACACACTGCATTCACTACACTAACACACACACTGCATCCACTACACTAACATACACACTGCATCCAGTGGTGTATCCTGGTTTTGTGCTGCCCTAGGCCCCCAAACCCCCCCAACCCTCCCACGCGCGCGACCCCCACCCATCCCTTCCCCCCGCCCCGCCTTCTTAATACACACACACACTCACTGACAGATACGCATACACTAGCTAACAGAAACACAAACTCACTGACACACACAGACACTCACTCACTCACTGGCAGACACACACACTCACTGACACACACACTCACAGGCAAACATACACACACAGTCAGACACACACACACACACACACACAAATACACTCACTAGCAGACACACTCACTCACTTGCAGACACACTCACTAGCAGACACACACTAGCAGACACAAACACTCACTGACACACACACTCACAGGCAAACACACTCACACTAACAGTCAGACACACACACAACAGTCAGACACACACACTAACGGACAGACACATTCACTCACTAACAGACACACACACTAACAGACACACTCACTGACAGACACACTCACACACACACTAACAGACACACACACTAACAGACACACTCACACACACACTAACAGACACACTCAAAGACACACACACACACACTAACAGACACACTAATACACACACTAACAGACACACTAACAGAAACACTCACACACACACTAACAGACACACTAACACACACACGAACAGACACACTAACAGACACACTAACACACACACTAACAGACACACACACAACAGACACCCTAACAGACACACACACACCCAACAGAAGACACACCCACACCCAACACACACACACATCCAACAGACACACTAACACACACCAACAGACACACCCACACACACACACCCAACACACACACACTAACAGACACACCAACAGACATTCACACACTAACAGACACACCCACACACACTAACACACACTCACACACACACCAACAGACACACCTCACACACACACAACAGACACACCCAACACAACAGACACACACACTAACAGACACACCCAACACACACACAACAGACACACACTAACAGACACACTAACAGACACAAACACCCAATAGAACACTCACACACACCACCAACACACACACACACACACACACTAACAGACACACTCCACACACACACATAACAGACACACTCACACACACACCTAAGACACACACACTAACAGACACACTCAACAGGCCACACTAACAGACACACTAACAGACATTCACACACCAACAAGACACACCACACACACACTAACAGACACACTCACACACACACTCAACAGACACACTACACACACACTAACAGACACACCCACACACACACACCACCAGACACACACACACCAATAGACACACTAACAGACATACACACACACACACACACACTAACAGACACACACACACACACACACTAACAGACACACTAACAGACACACACACACACACTAACAGACACACACACACTAACAGACACACTCACATAACACATTTATTTTTTTTAACCCCCCCCTCCTTACCTTTGGGAATGCTGGGGGGAGGGAGGGTTCCCTTTCTCCCTGGGGGTCCAGTGGCTGCTGGACGCTGGGCACGCAACTGGCGAAGGAGCTCTTCCTCTGAGCTGTCTGCTCAGCTCAGAGGAAGAGCTCCCTCGCCAGCCGCCCGCCCGCCCAGCGCCGCCTGCCCGCCCGCTCGGCATGTCTGTTAGCCGCAAGGCAAACAAGACATATGCCCTGGGCATTTGGGGGGCGACTTTTTTTGCAGCCCCCTGGAAAATGCCACCCAAGGCAAATGCTTGTTTGCCTCGTGGCTAAAACACCCCTGACTGCATCCACTACACTGACACACACTCTGCATTCACTACACTGACACACACACTGCATCCACTACACTGACGCACACTCTGCATTCATTACACTAACACACACTCTGCATTCATTACACTAGCACACACACTGCATTCACTACACTGACAAACACTCTGCATTCACTACACTGACACACACACTGCATTCGTTACACTAACACACACGGCATTCATTGCAGGGCAGGAGGCAGGAGGCAGGCCGGCCGGGCGTGGGGAGGGAGGGCGTGGGGGGCCCAGACCTTGTGCTTTGTCAGGGGCCCCAAAATTTCTGGTGGCAGCCCTGAGATTAGGCACCTGCTTTCTCCACATTGCAGGTGCCTACTCTGCTTAAATTTACTCGGCTGGGACTCGGAAAGGTCGCTGGAGGAGCTCAGTCTTCCTGCTCCTCACTGCTCAGTTGCGTGCGCCTTCTTTAGTGATGCCGGGTGCCAGAATATTACATCATATTTCGGCACCCAGCATCACTAAACTGCGCGCGAGGGAGCAGTGAGGAGCAGGAAGGAGATCTCCAGGTAGAAGATCCCCACCGGACCTCAGGGAATGATGTAAGTGTGTGCAAGAATGTGTATGTTTGTATGTCTATCAGTGTATTTGTTTGTGTGTCTGTCAGTGAGTGTGTGTGTCTGTCTGTCTGTCAGTGAGTGAGTGAGTGTGTGTCTGTGAGTTAGTTTGTGTGTGTTTGTCTGTGTGTGAGTGTGTATGTGTGTGTGTGTCGGTCTGTGTTGCGATAGCCGCGGCTGGACAGTGGAGGACCTGGAAGTGCATGGGGGCACGCAATGCCACGTCACATTCTGACGTGATGTCGACATGCTCCACTTTCACAGGGTTTCAAGAAGTAGAGGGAGAATCCGCTTTGGCACAGGATGTGGGCGGCGCCATTTGGGGTATACCAGAGGTCTGACTCCAGAGTCACATACTGGCAGCGGCAATGTGAGTGGAGTCTGCTTCTTGGCTAGAGGGGGTGCTAAGATTTAGTATATGGGGGGACTGGGCTTTTGGGGGGTGCTTTGGTTTAGTAGAGGGAGATGCTGTTTTTCTTTTATACTGTACTTTTCAAAATAAACCTAAGTTTCTATGAAAATTTTAAGTTTTTTTGTGGCCCACGTAAACGTAAACCTTGTTTATTTGACCCGTGCTAGACTTTGAGTTTGACATGCTTGCTGAATATCCTTGGGTTGGGATTATACCACCAAGGCTTTATTATTATTATTTTATTATTTATAAAGCGCCAGCAAATTCCGTAGCGCTGTATAATTACACTTTGAAGAGCAATAAACTTGCTCTGGTGGTATAAGTAGGATACTTTTTTTTCTGTGCACCACATATATTTTTACATACTGCACTATTTATTTATTACTGGTATTTATATTAGATCCTCTCTGCTTTATTTTATATGATGGAGCCATATTGGACACCAAGATTGTGGACCTACACACATCCTGAGATGTAAATTGTACCGTCCGAGTGCTAAACAGCAGAGCTCTTAGTAGCTCAAAGAAGTGTGAGTTAGTTATCTGCATAACCAACTGTTTGTAAAATTGATGACATATTACACTATTTTCTGTTTCACTTTGAGGTTTTCCTGCTATTGAAATACAAAAGTATTTTACTCCAAAGAGAGTACGTATATACGCCTATTCATAACACACCATTGTGTCACTGTTAAGACTGATTTCACCCGTGTGATTTCCTGGCGCGGTTTATCACTTGTTGTTTTATCACGTTTCAACCCATAGACTTTTTCAAGCATGTTTGTGTCATTCTGTGACCTGGATTTGCTGTGTCTGTAGGATGACCTGCAAATTGGTTGTGCAAGTCTGTTTTCCCTTTAACCTGCCACTGTTTAATGGGAAAAGTTGAGTGTAAAACAGAACCAGCAGAATATTTTCAGGGCATACAAAATGTGGGAAATTAGAGAAGTGGTGCGAGGGAATGAGTAAAAGACTTGGCGTAAGGGGGGTGAATGATGTGAGTTTTGTAAATTGTGATGACTGTGGGCATGGAAACAGACAAAAGAAATGAGATCTTGAGTCTGATAGAGAAATTGTAATAGATGTTGAAGGTAACAAGTAGGGCTAGTGCAAGGATTTTTTGATACACCCCCTCCCCCACCAACCCCTACCAACAAAAATAAATGCATCTTCACCTCCATGTCTCGTAGCCCCCAGTTTGAATTTCTTACCCCCTTTAGTGCTTCATATCCCCTCTCTTGAATGTCTAACCCCTTTTGCCCCTTTTTGTCCTACACCCCCCTTTAGTGTGTCTCTTACAATCCCTCTTGTGTATTGCTTACTTCCCCACCAGCCTCTTTCTGTGTCTTTCTTCATAAATATGGAAACTGATACACATACAGATAGACTGACACACAGATACCCACACACTGACACACACACAGACACACATATACAGTTACATACAGACACACAGATACAAACACATACACACACTGACAGACATACAGGTACACACACAATGAC